TGAATGGTAGCAATGCACCGGCGTAAAATCACATACTCTGATGGCTCGCCATTTTTTTTTTACTGTACAAACTATTTGAAAAGTTTCGTTTTTATATGAATGTATTTATTAGCGTGAGTGTGCTTCCAATGTGTAGGTCGGTTTGCGGTGGTCATAGAGTGAATGTAGCAAGGTACCGGCGTAAAATCACATACTCTGATGGCTCCCCATTTTTTTTTACTGTACAAACTATTTGAAAAGTTTCGTTTTTATATGAATGTATTTATTAACGTGAGTGTTTTGAATATGTGGGGACGGGTTTTTGATGTTAATGGAGAGAACATAAGAGAAGCCTTGGCGGAAAGTCATGCCACGATGGCTCACCATTTCATTTAACATGCTGATTGAAAGGTTTAGTTTTTGTATAAATGTATTTATTAACGTGAGTATTTTGAGAATGTTTGGGTGGGTTTTGTAATGTTTACAGGTTGAATGTTAGAGGTAATAGCAAATGTCTCGATGGCTCGTCATTTCTTTTAATTGCAAATACGGTTTGAAAGGTTCCGTTTTGGTACGATTGTATTTATTAGCGTGAGTGTCTTGAGTATGTGTTCGAGGGTTTGTTGCGGAATATGTTTATAGAATAATATCAAATTCTCAGGTGACTCGACAAATCTTTATAACCGCATATACTGTGCGAAAGGTTAGGTTTTGTGTTTATTAGCGTGAATGGCGGTACGATCTTACAATGTGATCTTGAGTACCACCGGAGAATCACCCACATGTGTGTTGGCTAAGTATTTTATGAGAGCGCCTATTGAACACTGTCAAAATGCGAGGTGGAAAAAACACGATGAAGTGAAGAAGTTTCAAGTTTCACAAGAAGAAAGAAAACCGACACGTTAATACAATAGCAAAACAAAATAGACCAAGATGTTTTATGAAAAAGCCAACGGAAAATTAAAATAAATTTAATACAATTTAACTTAATTTTTATAATTTTGGTGATGAACTGGTTGTAAAAGTTATTATCGTACTATAAAACAAAAGTAATTCCGGTATTTTGTCTAAAGTAGTACAGTCCAAGTTATGGAACTCCATAATAGAGAATCTGTGTTTGAAGAAAACTTCTTTCAGTTCCAGAACTGTTTATGCTGGACAACAATGCTGGAACTAAAAGCTCAAACAAACCTTCAAATACAGATTATCTAGTAATTCCGGTCATATAGGAAGCTTAACTGGCCAACTACTCTGTAGCTGTGGTGACGAGGGGTCAAACCACTTTAGAATACAAATTTTGTAATTAAAATTCCACGGGCCTCGCCGGGATTCGAACCCAGCGACCGTACATTTCTCTATATACAAATCGAATTTTTCATTAGTGTCTTTTTCACATAAAAATCCTTATCTCTAATCTGTTTGGAGGGCATGCGAAAGGGTGAATTTATGACCGTTTCGAATATCGACGAAGACCTTGCAAATAAAATAAAATTTCACGGCAGTTTGCATACATTATTCAAGAGACGGTAGTAACCTTTTGAATTCGGCGAACGACTTGTTTATAAGAATCAAAAACTTAGTTATATCCATATACTTTTTGTCATAACCTTTAAAGAGTAGGTTGAAACGAAATAAAGGGAGAGTTCCTCGCATTTGTCCATTTTTGCCCATTTAGTCGGGATTTATGCAACACGCCCATGATCAGAGGTGCCCCACCCTTTAACAACAACAATTTACACTCAGGTCAGTGCAATGACTGTCGGTGAAAGTGAGAAGAAAGCGACCCAATTCGGGGTCGAGGACCCTCAAGGTCTCAGAGGGTCCCAGAGAGTAAGAGTTCACCCTGGGACTTATCACATCCAAGGACATCCAGAGGAGACTTAGTATTAAGGCCAGTTCGAACTTTTTTTTATCAAAAGTTAAATTTTTCTTATTGAAAAATTTTAAATGGTAAGTGAAAATGAACGAAATAATCCAGGTTTCGTCCTGGTCGAATTAATTTAAGAATTAATTTATACAATTTGGTTCTAAATTCCAATAAAAAGACAAAATACGATTTGAAAACTTTCTCTCTCTGGAATATTTCTAAAAAGAAGGTCGTGGAATTTCTTGACTTCAAAAGTTGTTTTTACTAGGATAATTTATTCCATGGATATTACTGGTCTTAAATCATTTAAAATTTTAAACGCTGACACGTTGAATCTTAAGGAAAAAAAAAATTGCCTAAATACGTGCAATAGCAATAACAAATAGCGTACAAAAATATGCAAAAAAGGCCACATTGTGATCCACGATTACCACTGTCTACAGATTGAATCTTGAGATTTCATATAATGAGAAATAGGTTTCTCTTTATTATTGCCTCGTTATGATAATTATGATTATATCTTTATGAGGAGCATGTGATTTATCATTATGATCCATACATTTTAATATTTTATGTTAATTTTCAACATTGTTTGTCAACTGTGCTTCTTCTTATAAAGACTAACATTGTTTCATTTCATGAAGATCAGACCTTAAATTTTACACGAAATTCGAGCCGTGGAAAGACTTGTATTCGAAATATTTTCATGAAAATATTTTTTCCTTCTTACAACTTAATTCTTGTTGGTTAAATAAAGTTATCTCACCTCCGGGGCTCTTTGGATGAAGTCCTGCTCAGTCAGGGCAGACAGGGAATGTCCCGGCATTTTGAAATACTGAGCGATCGAAAGTGCAAGGCTGAATTGTGCCAAATTCCAAGTGAGCCAGGTGTCCACCTCTTCCACAGTCCACTTGCTAGGATCTGCCATGAAAAAAGAAACATACAGCATTAAAAAATACATATTTGACCACAAGCAAAACATCATCAATAGAATGAAAAAACAGACTGGAAATAAGTATGAAATTGACAGTTCGTTCTGTTTTCATGGCTTGTTTTATGGCGTTACTGCGTTTGGCCAGCTGGAGAAAATCGCCTTTGACAACCAGGTAAATCATAAAGAAACTATTGAAACTGCACCGCAGCAGGATATGTACGTTTATGGACGAAAGAACGATTTATGAACCGTGCCCTATTTATCTATGTAAAGTGCAGTCTTGCAAAGAACCTCTAACATAAATAAGCATAAAAAATTATCCATTAAATTATATTTATTGAACTTGCATTTAACGTTCTCCTTAAAGCTAGTCTCTTTCAAAACTCATCACAAACATTAACTGGAGAAACAACATTTGGTCTCTTGTTTTTGTGTGGGTGAATATGTTTGTGTTAAAGAGAGAGAAGAAAATAGTGCTGGATAGATATTAATAAGGATAGGTGGAGTGCAAGATAAATAATAAATAATAATAATATAAATATAAAAATGTTAAGTAGTGAGATTGATAGCTAGAGAAGGACAGAGCAAAGAAAAACAGATAGCTAAATAACATAACATAAAGAGCGATTAAGAGGCACTAGATAGTAGATAGATGGACAGATACAGAGGGAAAGAGAAAGAATGATAGAGAATGAATATATAAGGTTTTATTTTGTGTCGAAGAATTTGGTCAATTAAGAAAAGAGAGATAGAGAAAGAGAGAGAGAGGCAAAGAGAGAAAGAGAGAGAGAGAAAGTGAAATAAAGAAAGAGAGAGAGGGTGAGAGAGAGAGAGAGAGTGAGAGAGAGGAAGGCAAAGAGAGAGAAAGAGAAATAAAGAGAGAGTGTAAGTGAAATAAAAAAAAGAGAGAGAGGGTGAGAGAGAGAGAGAGAGGGAGAGAGTGAGAGAGTAAGTGAAATAGAGAAAGAGAGAGAGGGTGAGAGAGAGAGAGAGAGAGAGAGAGAGAGGGTGAGAGAGAGAGTAAGTGAAATAGAGAAAGAGAGAGAGAGAGAGAGAGAAGAGAGAGAGAGAAGAGAGAGAGAGAGGGAGGAAGAGAGAGAGAAAGAGAAAGAGAGAGAGTAAGTGAAATAAAGAAAGAGAGAGAGGTGAGAGAGAGGAGAGAGAGAGGGAGGAAGAGAGAGAGAAAGATAAAGAGAAAGAGAGAGAGAGAGTAAGTGAAATAAAAAAGAGAGAGAGGGTGAGAGAGAGAGAGAGTAAGTGAAATAAAGAAAGAGAGAGAGGGTGAGAGAGAGTAAGTGAAATAAAGAAAGAGAGAGAGGGTGAGAGAGAGTAAGTGAAATAAAGAAAGAGACAGAGGGTGAGAGAGAGAGAGAGAGAGAGAGAGAGAGAGAGAGAGAGGGAGGGAGGGAGGGAGGAAGAGAGATACAGGCACACCGTCAGAGAGAATTTGATATACAAATAGTTTGATAAATAAAGATAAATGTAGACTGATATTGAGAAAGATAGATGTATAGATAGAAAGAGAAGAAGAGAAAGTGAGAAAGAAAGAAAAAGAAAGATAGAGGGGAAGAGAGAGTGATACATGGAGAAGAGATAAACAAAGAACAATATGAAGTTATAGATTGAAAGGGAGATCGATACAAAAATAGTTAGACAGACAAATAGATATATTGAGATATAGATAGATTAGGTAGAAAGATAGTTATAGAAAAAAAGGAAAGAGTGCGAGGGAGCATGGGGGGAGGGGGGGAGAGAGAGAGAGAGAGAGAGAGACAGACAGAGAGAGTGGGAGAGAGAGAGAGAGAGAGAGAGAGAGAGAGTAAGTGAAATAAAGAAAGAGAGACATGTCTTATTTCAACATCAAACCCAATGGATCAAAAATAGCTGCGATGGAAGACAAGACGTTTCATTTTGAAACTTTTCTTTAGGGGTGAGATGTGAAAAGTCAGTCGAGCCACTTCAATCCTAATATTGTTTTATACAAATCGCCTTCAATGCCTACGAGGTGCAGAACATCCATAAGTTTGGCGAAATTACAAGATCTCCAGATTCAAACATGGAAACTAGTAGATATATTTCAACGACCTTATCTTCAGAATCTTCGTTGGGGCCTAAATCGTTTATTTAAATATATCTTTATAACTTTTATAAGGGGTTTGGGCCATTCTCTCGCTATTCGAGAATTGGAACATGTCAGATTTTTGCTATCCCTAAACGAAAGGAATGTTGTTTGTTTTATACGAGACGAGTTGGGGCGTAGTTTGCGATTTCCATTTGCTCTACTCCATCGGCTTCACAAATTGATGGGCAACGTCTGCGCTCCGCCCTGTCACGAAAGCCATTTATCAAAAGGAAAAAACCTGATTTGTATTAATTGAAAATAGCACTAAGCTTTAATTTCGACGTAGGCAAGGTCAAGACTGTAAAATTTTAATTGCATATCTCGACTCGGGGAAAAGGTCAGTTGCTCTGGTTTTCGATCGATTTGTGTTTCATATTTTTTTTTTAACCAACCGATAAACTCACAGATGGACGGAATTTGAAACATTCAGTGTACACGTGAATGCAGGCGTTTTCCCATTTTAAAAGTTGTGTAATTCAAAACCTAAAATTCTTGAGCAAGTTAACAAAGGCGTCCTTGGATAGACGGGCATTCTCGTAAATATCCACCGGTTGAAAAGTTTTTCAAACAGTTAGAAACGAATAAAACCAAGACGTGGAGTATATTAAAAGAAATCTGATTGTCAGATTACAGAACGTAAGCACGAAACCTTCTGACATTTTACCTGATGGAAAATATTCAAAGTCGTCTGTTGAGTAAAATGGCGGAGATATCTTGAAAATGATATAGACAGCACATGTAAAACAGGCAAGGAAATTTCTGCAGATGAAAGAATCCAATCGTTATGATTTGCAAATTTGCCTTGTTTAAAAAAAAACTATTTAAACAATCACATGACATAATTTTTCATGTTCCTTCCATTTTCGCTGAGATTTGGATGAGAAAATCCTGTCAAAAATACATTATAATCTCAAAAATAGGCTTAAAAGTCGAACGGATAAAACAAGCAGGCAAGGAAACAAATAAACAATCAATTAACAATCATGATTTACGTATTGTCTTGAAAATAAAATAAATTATCCTATTATTATTTTTTAATTTTTAATCCTTTCAATTAATTAATCTTTTTATGTAAGGTTTTGGTTGAAATGAAAAAGTCAGTGTCACGAGCGGGATTCGAACCCAAGACCTTCGGCTAAGTACGCCGCTGCTCTACCACTTGAGCTATCGTGACTTCGATCCACTCGGACACCAACTCCCCATCCCAACCTCCTGAAAGAATTAATTTGGCCAATATAATGGGTTGGATAAAATTTAATTTTCTTATTTTTCAGGAAATACCTGGGAGCAAACTGCTCCTTTGTCAAATTTCACTTTGTAATGAACTACGTTGGATTTGTTTATTATTGACCGAATATTTCAACAAATATGTTGGACGTTGGGCATTCCATCTCCTTCGTCAGGTTTTTTAATTTCTTTTTTTACGAAGGTTATATCAGACGTTATATCAACCATTGTGGTATCGTGTTTTTGAAGAAAAGCCCATTTGTATGTCGGGTTCGAAGGCAGTGCCACTGGATTCGAACCCAGGACCTTTAACTGACAGTGATAAGCGCCGTATCCCCCTTTCGACAGGTTTACTGAAGTTCTACGATTGCTAATATACATATGTATCCGTTTTCATACCCTTCATATCAAAGATGTTGTTTTTTCATTTACGGTACTTTTACAGATAAATTAAATCTTAAATTGGAACCACCTCCTAAGAAATTTTAAAATGAACCCTGCTATATATAATCAAATTTGGAAACTGCATTTATTCATTAAATATTCACACACAGTTTATCAATATTTTATTATAAATGCTTATTTGGAGATCGTGAGATGCGGTCCGGTGTGACGTAAGTTTTAGAAAAACATTTTCTTTATCGTGCCAACGTTTCGATCTTTATTGAAATCATCTTCAGGGTGTCAAGTAACGGTAAGTAAATACCACACATTTCTACACGAGAAGAGCGAAGAACATGGGACTCTATAACATATTTCAACGACATATGGACACCAAGCAAAGAGTATTCTGAAGGACATCGCCAATGAGGAGAAACTCGCATCGGCTATCAATCCGAGAACTTTTTTGTTGAAATGCAGACAGCACGAGGCCCTAGGGGCGTCGGTGGACGCAACGGTTTAGACGTAGACATAGCGCTAATAACTGTAAGGTCCTGGGTTCGAATCCAGCGGCCGTGCATTCGAACCCGACATACTTACAAATGGGCTTTTTTTCAAAAACACCGGCACCCCGAGGGTTGATATAACCTCTGCTGTTGCGAACCCTCGTAAAATAAAAAATAAAATAAAAAACACGAGGCCCTGAAGATGATCTTAGTAAAGATCGAAACGTTGGCAAGATAAAGAAAATGTTTTTTCTAAAACCTAAGTCACACCAGACCGCATCTCACGACCTCCAAATAATCATCAAGTAACGGTCACTAAACACCACACATTTATTATAAATATCATTAACATAAGAGTTTTGCATGGCCTATCCTTAATCGGCTGAGGATGACCTTTTTCTTTATCGACGTCATATAAGAGCTTTTCTGCCGACCCGGCCCACCGACGCTGCTACATTCTTTCCAGGTGGTTAAGTCCGAAGCGTTCCAAAGTACCCGCGCTCTTCAACAAAACAAAAAATGTTAAACTCAGCGATGAATAATTTTTACAGATTAATGACCATTAAGGACTTAACTTATTTCACAACTTATATTTTACGTCTTGCAATTGTTTTATTGTATTTTATTATTATATTACATTATTCTTGTCACGAGCTGTTTTTCCTGATATTTCAAGGCCATATGTCCGAGTATACATGTGTGTTGTGTGTTAAAAAAATTAAAATTGTTCATGACAGGTAATTATATGGGA